TCTCTCTCTCTCTCTCTTTCTCTCTCTCTCTCTCTCTCTCTCTCTCTATTACTCTCGTTCTGTCTCATATACAATGTTACTATGAACGATTGACTCACACGTCTCAACCACTTCCTTTTCCTTTGATAATCCTCTATCTTCGTCACGTTCGTGACATCTTCTTGTTCATTTAAACACTCCTCTTTCCTCGGTACTCTCCTTTTCTCGATTGCGACTCGACGCAGCTTGTTATGTTTTAATTGGTCATTTCAATTGGCGGAGCAAGAAAACGAACGAGAAACAAACATAGCCACTCGCATAACACAATCTACACCGTGTTCGGTTTTTTCGCAATGAATTTCCTCTAATTTTCTTTATCGTGTGTCCTCTCGATCGAATCACCGATATCGCCACATCAATTAAGTACGAGTTTATTTCATAAATCAATTTTGAAACGAGTACAGGAAGAGTTTACATTCAATATAAAAAGAAGAGTGCAATATACAGAAATATTATGCAACGTTTGCGATAACACGTTTCGACGAAGAATTTGATTTTGCTTTTCTCAATGGATCTCTCACGGTACTTTACCGCGGGTTCTTTCCAAAGGCTTCACGTAAACGTTGGTTGCGATTTTCGACATCTCCGGATACGAGTCGGCTTTAGCTTGTTCCAATTTCTTGTCCACCATCTTATATGTACTATTCCGAATCTCTTGTAGCACAAAGAGGATTAAGATTAAGATAAGGGTAAAAGAGGCGTCAGAGAAAGAGAGAGACGAAGGAGTGGGCAGTTGGCGATTAGACTTACCCGAATTTCCGCTGCGATTTTTATACCGTTCGCCACCAGTAGTTTAACCAGCAACTCAATAGGATCTTGCTCGGAATGTACCGTTTTTGCTTTTTCTCTAGAGAGATGCGAAGTATCGATAGGTGACAATCTCGAGAATAATTGGACCGTTCCGTCGAGCGTAATCCTTTGCAAATTTCACAGTTTCGCGAACATCCATCAGCCTCATACGGTCTAAACGGTTTGAAATGAAAGGAAAATGAGGATAAGAAAAGACTACGTTTAGTCAAAAGATAAGCCATTTTCCTCACCTTTATCCTTGGAATTAGATTTTCTCACGAGTAAAAATTAGTATTCGCCGAATGTCTGTACACTGTTCTCATTCCGTATTTATTACTCTTGCATACGTACACCACCGGCAGATTTCATAGTTTCCAACATGTATGCTTCATAAATTTGACCCTGTGATGCTGCATCGACCCTGTGGAATGGCCAAGCAGCTCTATCCGTGTCGTTACATTTCTAAGCAAATCCTAAGCCGGCACCGATCGGTACCTATCATGACAGAACGATTTCGCACGAGCTTAAACCAATCCCGGTGATCGATCGAGAAATGATCGAGAATGCTTCAATTTTATCCTATTCTAACTGACCGCCGGCGATTCCTTCACCTCCATAAAGTTGTTTCGCGAACATATGCGCAGAACCATCTGTTCCTTTGGAAATTCCACT